TGAAGCGCTGCTACTTTGAGTTTACTCCAGAACCAAGTGAGGGGTCGGCAGGTGGGTCACTGACCCTGTCAAAGGTCACCGTGACAGACTGGGTTCCTTCTCAGAGACTCGGCCTGGACTAGAACGAATAGCGTTTTCAAGCATTTACCTTAGAACATCTTCTCTGTGCTACTGCTGTTAACTGCATTAAACAACATTTGAGTGCCTGGGGGTGAGGCAATGTTCCCCAAGCGAGGGGATCACCAGTAAACAAACTGTTTCAGCTTTGAAAGAACTTACTGTCTAGACGGTGAGAGACAGGCCTGTGCTCAAACAACGCCCCAGGACGGAACCGGCGAAGCGCATTAGCAGAGTGCGGACGGAGAACGCACTTCCGCCGCAGGGAGGGCAGAACGCCTCCCCTCCGGTTCTGCCCTCGAGGAGCTTCTGATACAGTTGCTTAAGAAGGGCTCTGCATTTGCCTTGGCCTTAGAATTCGTTAAGTGTTTGTCAGAAATACGCATATGTTATGGAGTACTTGCCCTGCACAGAAGCAGAAGGCCACATCAGCCTGTCCACCGCGCTGGGTCACGAGAAGTGAGCCCGGGAATGACGCGCTTGCGGGCACAGGTGCGGGGGACGGAATCCTGGGGGGCTTGGGGATAACTCCTGGTGTCCCACCACTCATCTGGCCATTCAGCCAGCTGCTTTTCTTATTAATGCCCTGGTGACAGGGGGCGTGGCCTGGTGCCACGCCCTGGCCGTTCTTACGCTCTGAGGGGTGCAGGAGGGGCCTGAATCACGTGAAGACACCACAGGTATCAGTCAACCCCAAACAGCCCCCAGGGCAGTCACACTGGTTCCCTGGGGCTGTGCGGTGTCTGTCACAGCCTGGGGGTGTGTGTGTGTGTGGGGGGGTGTGGCAGGGCAGGGAACATCTGGAAGATGGGGGAAAATACTGCCTAGAATTTCAAGTGAAAACTATTTGAAAAGTCAATGGTGGGAATGGAAAAATGCTTTCTTAGCATTTTAAAATGCTTTACACTATCAAAAGAAATTATCTATTATCCTGAAATGTGCACTTGATTGAGTGCACTTTACAGAGGCATTTGGAGAATTTTAAAACAGCTTTTTGTTTTTTAAAGAAAGGAACTAGAAGGTCAGTGGAATAATGCGGTACAGGAACGCAATATTGTATTTTAGACAGAAAATGCCAAAGACCTGTTCCTATGTGGCAATAACGATGCTAAGTTCGAATTACCAAACGAAAGCAACGCACGTACAAACTGGGCAGAAGATGAATCCTACCTTTCTTGAAGACCTAGCTGTATACCTTGGAGACAATTTGCCTGTTTGTATCAAAAAAGATACATTCCTCAGAACAGGCTCAAAACCGGGCAAGAAGAAATGACCCAAGAATTAATTAACTAAACAGGAGACTGAAGTAAACAAAGGAAAAATGGTCGTATCAAAATAAAAGAAGCAGAATGATTGAATTAGGCTTCAAAAGACCCGGGAGAAACGTATAAAACACATATATGCATTTACGTGGTTTTTATTCTTTCATGATTTAATTTCTAATTTTATTCACTACCATCTGATAATTGCATGAAACACTTAGTCTAACCGTGGGCAATTTAGACCATTTTAATTTTTATTTCAAGGCCATGAGACAAAGGAACCTATTTATTGCCTACGGGGATTTTATTAAAAATAAAAATTAAAGCTTAATCTTTCATGTTTTAAAACATAGACAGTTTAAAATCATTCATAATAATGCTGTAGGGAGGCTGTTCCTGGGCATGCAAAATTGAAATGATAAATTTACAATTATTAAAAGAATTAATAGTTTAGGGGATTGAATTGTCCCTTTCCTTTCTGGATAGATTTGTCTGAAACTTTAAAAGGCAGCTTTAAAAACAGGGTAAAACCAAACCTTTTGCCAGAGTGATGCGTTTCACAGTTTGACTGGGTTTTTAATGGAACAATAATAAGCCCAGCTTTTTGTTATTTAAAAATAATAAGTAAAGGCGCTGGCCTTGGGAACTGCTCCCCACCCACACCAGGAAATTGCTCTGATGAAGTGGAGTCATGAATTCTACTAACCACAGTTGCTGTGACTTTGAAAGAGTCCCTGATGGAAATTAGACAAATAACTTACTTTCACTTAAATGCCAGGTTTTTTTAGTTATACGTAAGAAATATTACTAAAATGTAGATTTAAATCATTTCTGCTGCTACCCCTCAGGATTCTAATGAAATACTTGGAGCTATTATGCAAAGCGCTCCTCAATAGAGAAGAGAAAAACCGCTCTCCACGATGCCTCAGTGAGCAGAATCTGCAGAGGACCAGATGCAGCTTTCAGAGCGGAGCGGAGGAGCCCTTGCCGGCGGTGGGCTGCACTGAGAGCGGGAAGAAAGGTGGTCATCGCAGGACACACTGTCCTTTTCATTAAAGCCCCAGGAAAAAACTGAAAATGGTCAAATATGCCTGAAGTTCCTTAAGTACTTCAGCCACCTTCCGGGGCTAAGTTCTGCATGTTAAGAAGGCCATGACATATCTGTGCTCCTGACCACAGTGGAGGGAATGGATGCGGACCCACCGTGGGGACCCCACCTCGTCTCTCACCCCTGGCCTCTCACCCTCTCAGCTCCAGGGACGGCTTCCTCGCTAGTTCAGGATCACGCAGGCTTCCCCCTGCCTCGCAGCCTCTGCACCTGCTGTCCTCTGCCTGCGCGGCCCTTTCCGTAGGTATCAACATGGCTTCCTCCCCTTGATTCAGGCTTCTGCTCCAATGCCACCTTTTCGGAGGGAAAGCCTCCTTCAACCCTCTTTACTCTTTCCAACTTTCTGCCTGGTGTCTCTTCATGGTGCTTGTCCATCACATCCAGGGGACCTTATCTGCTTCTTGTCCAAGTTACCCTGACAGACTGGAAGGCTGTCCCATCCCTTCTGTTCACTGCTGTGTCCGCACTCCCAGGGCAGGGCCCACCACTGTACCAGCATGTAAGAAGCACCGTCTATCGATCACATTATCACAGCTATCAGCTCACACCCGCTTTTGCACTTGGCTTTTTAAAGTGACAAGTCATCTTTTAAAGAAGAATGAAATGTCTGAATATCAATTTTGATTCCCTGGAACCACGGCACATTCCAGCACAAACATCACGACAGAAGGATGTATTTAATCAAGTCAAACGAACCCTCACAAGCAAACAACAGGCCACAAAACCTTACACAGCTGTCAGAATGGTGGAGTGCTTTTAATGCAGCTACAGGAAGAACTGTGCTGAAGTTAGACTGAAGGACTCACGGTCCAAACTGTGGGCTATATGGCTCCTGGCCATAGAAGGAAGAGAGTTTTCATAATAAAAAAGGGTTTTCCTTTTTCTGCCTCTCAATAAGGACTTGATCAGTTTCTGTTGGCTATTTCAAGAGCAGGGAGAGAAGGTCAAGGCCAAGGTTGGAAAAATCAGAAAAATTTACTTTAGATGGAAAAGTTGATATTGCTTTCTCTTAAAAAAAAAAGACAGCAAATCCTCCTTTTTTATAGAAACAAAAAAGTGTTCAGGTTTTGAGTGACTTTTAGTTCTTTTTCTCCAAATAAAGTAAAAAATATTAGCTTCTGATTAAAGATACAATAAAATGTATGAGGTTTTAATGGAATCATATCATGGTCTTCATAGGGGAGGTAAAAATTCTTATTTGAGAAAATACTTTTAAACCCAATTTATAAAAAAAGAAACATCATGGAGGTTAAGTTTTCAATTTGTTTTTAAGATAAATCACTTATTTTTATAAAAGGGGGATTTATTTTCTCAAGATGTTTATTTCTGGCAAGGGCCACTAAAGGCCTTGTGTAAATAACAAACGTGTACATACTGTGTTAGCACTGTAACTTGCTGAGACCACAAGGTTGTTTTTAGGAAGACTGTGTGCCGCGAAGGCGCACCTCTGAAGGCATTGTAGAGAATGAAGTCAACCCCTCCATGGGCTCTCCTATGAGATTAAAGTACCTTGAGGATAAACCCCCAGCTTTGCCTAGACGGCTCCTGGATTTCTCCCTCGGAAGTGCACCCACAGGGAAATGCACGCCTCAGATCCACGGTGTTTTATAAAGGGACCAAGGGCCCTTGCCTTTGAATCTGCCAGAGGGCTTCATGGCTCCCTAACGTCAAAAGCTGTACGAAAGCTGGTCCGCGGTGTGCTGCAGCTTTCGTTTTCTATTTTTCTGAAGGAAAACCTTGCACTACTACATACAAGTCCGTTTCAACACTTAGCTAATCTTTTTGGCAGAACCGATAGAGGGTCTCGAGGTTTCAAAGTTGGAGACTGTCCAGGCCAGCTCCTCCACGCCCTGGAGGCGGCGGTGAGATCGTTTATCAAGGTCTAGGAAATTCAGGGAGAAAGAGAAGCCGGCGAAACATTTCTTAACAAACAAATCATGGTATCCAAGCAACCACATTATGTCTGGCTTGTATGAAAGAAAAATGGCATCTGCTTTTGAATAAGGCAACAAAATTTCTGAGGAAAAAGACTTCAAATGACAAGAGTCCAGAACATGGCCATAAGCAAACGACCAAGACGGCCCCTCTGGACTATGGATTTTAGAATCAAATTTGTGAAGAACAGTGAGGGTGTAAAATCACAGTGGAATGATTAGAGATTTTGAGCTTTAACACAGAATTCTTAAATTGCTAAACAAAGAAAAAGGGTTAAAAGCATGACTACAAGACTGAGGCTCTTCATGATGGTGAAGGCTTAATGAGGACTGAATGGACGTATTTTTGGAGCAAAATAAATGTGTGAGAATTGCCAGCATGGTGGATTCTCCCAGTGAAAACACTGTTTTCATTGGGAAATAAAACACATGCAGTTTGAAAGTTTGGTTCTTTAAAAACAATTAATTATTTTAAATTAATGAGCTAGCCCTGATGCCGAAGTCAAGTTCCCCGGCTGTCTGGACACAAGTACCCCGCACCTGGCACCCAGGTGCGTGCAGACCTGGGTGTCCTCTTACCAGGGCTGGTGAGGGCTCCCAGGGCGCTGCTCGTGGTGGACAGAGGGTTTGCATTGGTGGTGGTGGCTGAGGTCTGCGCCGCGGCTGCGGCTGCCGCCAGCGTGGCCAGGTTCTGTAACTGCAAAGCATTCATCCCTGCGGAAGGAAAAGAAAAGGGCGGCTTTAGCAATAGGCCCACTTTGCCAGGCAGATGACGACAGCAGAGGCCCAGGGCAGTAAGCCCTTCGAAGCGTGCCTTGGTGACTTGTGTGTCATCTAACTTCTCAGCAGTCACCTCACTGTGGTGCTGCCTGTCCTAACCCAGGACACCCTTCCCAGCTGCATTTGCTCAGGGCTGGAGAAATCACCGGAAAACACGGGTCACTACTGCTGTGTGGGGACTGGCCCCGGCAGGGCCTCCCACCATGAGGCTGTCAAGAAACAGTAAGGTCTGGGCTTAGGCAGGGGGAGGATGAGTTTAGGGTAAACTATCAGTCTCTAAGCTCGACAGCTGCACATGGAAGGTTATCTGAGAGAAAGAGACAGTTTATCGGTGAAAAGTTCTTGCTCTGGAGTGGAACGGATGGGGCTTTTGGCTCGGCTACTTTACCTGCTGCGTGACTCTGGACAAATTAACTTCTCTGGTCTCGTTTCGTGAGTGGTAATAGTAATTGTACCTTACATCAAAGGGTGGTTGTGCAGATTAAATAGATGAATGTCAATCACTCAGCACAGTGACTGGCACAATGGAAGCACCCAATGTCAGGGACCTTTGTTGTTATTGGCACCAATTCCTCTCTTCAGACTTATCTTACAGTGGCCATGCCTGGTGTGGGGCCTGGGGTCTGGAGTCTTTGACACAAGCACTTTTGGTATCTTCTCTCCTTTTCACTTCTACTGCTCAATTCAAAGCTCCTCTGAACATTCAAAGTCCTTCTCCAGGACTCACTTCACACTAACGCGTATCTGAGAAGCAGAGAGCAACGGCTCTCTCCTCACACAGGGGAGTTTTCTATAGAAAGATATTGGAGTTAAGTAGTCAGCTTAATTCTGCCTTCTCTTCATGCCTCAAATACAGATACTTAATAAATGTCTGTGGAGCAAATTTGGTCTGCTGTGGAGAGAGTGCCCAATGGCAGCTTCCATGTGTGTGGGGGTTACGGGGTGTGGATTGAGGGGCAAGAGAACGTTCTAGCAAGGCACCTGCGAAGGCCCCATGTCACGCTTGTGGCGCCCTCCCCTCAGCGCGGCTGCAGGCCTCACCGACTGCCCCTCCAGCCTGACCCCTCTACCAGGGTTTATTTCTACTCAGTTCTTGACATCTTTGCTGCAAAATGGGTTCTCATTTTCCTCAAAATGATACCCTATCTTCTTCCAGGAGACGTCCAGCTCTCTTGGCGTAGGGTGAAAGCCAAACACCTGTCTTCCTAAACCCACTTAGTTCCTCGGGGTTCCCAGAAGCAGGGCAGCAGCGTTTGTGGAATCCTGTGAGTCTAACCCTACTTTCTCAGGCCCAGACAACCAGGGACAAAGCTCTTCAGGGTCGCACTGTTGAAAATGGGAGAGTCAAGAAAGCGCTGCTCTCACGGTTCAAGCTTACCTGAGGGGAACGGAACTGGGGGAAGTACAGGAGCTGCCTGGCTTCAGTGCAGACCCACCTGGACCTGAGGGGCCCACTCCTGAAAGCTGCTCGAATGCACTTCACACCTGATGTGACGTGAGTGCAGGCTCTGAGTCCCATTGCCAGGAGCCAGGAACGTGTCCATGGACCCATCAGCTCCCTCTTGGCCCTCCAGTGACAAGTGTTCCCTCCAATGTTTCAATGATGCATACCGGATGAGGGGACCACATGACCCACAGCTGGCTGCACAGACAAGCGCAGGGGTTGGCACTGAAAGTGAAACCCACAATGCACACCTGGCACTGCCCATTGGCACAAAGAGCCACTCTCCCGGGCCCAGGCCACAGGGTCCTCACCAGGGGTGTCTCCTCTGAGCTTGCCCAGGTGGCAGCCACGGTGCTCAGACAGCAGAGTCCCAGAGCTGGGGGGGGGGGGCAGGCCCCCCTCAGTTGGGTCAGAGGCTTGGGTTGGAGGCCAGAGAGCCTGTGGTGGCAGAACCTCCTGGTCAGGGCAGCGATCCTGCCACAGCTCACACCACCCTCAGGTGAAGACTGGGAGTTTGCATTTAACATGCACTTTCTGGGTGTCACCTGCCAGCTTCCTTATTTCCTTGTTTCTAACTCGGGGGTCATTCATTAATCATATCCCCCTTTGATGCTATTTTTGTGTATTCCTTAACTTTATAACTAGATACTCAATTCCTTGAGGACAAAGATGTTGTCTTATTCCTTATCAGGTCCACCCGAACACACACACACACACACACACACACACACACACACACGCTGCTGCTGCTTAGACAGGAAGAGATGGGTGGACGCAGGAAGGATGGAGAGAATAACAGAGAGCACGGGATTTTCATGACGGCACTTTTAGACCGTATTTTTAGACAGTACTCTAATGAGTACTGTCCGTGGACCCATCCAAGTTTTTAGTTTTCTCCATGTTTGGTCAGCTATTCAGTATCTATAACACGCCGAGTATTGACTGTTTCCCTCCATCATTAATTAACCACTTTACACATATTTATTAGAAGCATGTGTATTCCTCACCTCATCCACCAGCACTCATTACAGGTCCTGGAGCCCAGCCACCAACACTTGGATTCCCCACACTACTGCCCTCTCCGCTTGGGACTGCCGGCTGAGCCCCTGAGTCCCCACTCCGTGACCCCTCTGCCTTTCCCTTCCCATGCTCCCCCCCACCCCGAGAGTGTGCCACCCGGTCCAGCCTTTTCCTGCCTCCAGCTAGAAAAGGCCAGGCAGAGGGATTTCAGCTCCAGAACACCGCACTGGGGGGTGAGGGGGGCACTCTGTTCAGTAATCACACTGTGGGAAAGGAACAAGACACGGGCCAAAGGAAGCAGAGATGATGCGTGGAGGGGCCACTGTTGATTCCCAGCACCAGAGGAATGTGGGGGAGAAAGAAGGAGGGTCAGGCAGAGAGAACCAGCAGAGACTAAGCCCTGCATTTGCCTGCCCCTCTATTTATGTCTATCCATCCATCCACCTGTCCGTCTGTTACTGAGTGGCCACGATGGGCCAGACCCTGGGTACCACACTGAAAATTAAGCAGAAAACAAGACAGTCCCTGCCCCTGAAGAGGTTGTTGTATACTGGGTCAGGGAGAAGCCAGGAACTGCAGAACAGTCCTACACCAGTTTCTGGAAACAGACCCAGACTCAGGAACTCTTTGTCACTAATCTCTGGTTTGAGGGCACGAGACAAGCACAGGAACACTGAATGGGCAGGGGGTGTCCCATTGGAGGATCATGCCCCTCCTTCTGTCTGTCATTTCGGGGTCCTGGAGGGCAGACCCCAGCAGATCCCACAGGCTCCCTTCCCACTCATCCCAGATGGCAGCGCTCAGTACACTGTAGGTGGGCAGGGCAGCGTCCCTGCCCCCTGTTCCGGGTGGGGGCCTGGTCCCAGCCCGGATACCCACCCTCCTACTTCTGCTCTTCTCAATGCAGAGGCACCTCTTCTTTGTCCTGTCCTGTGTTCCCAGGGCCTGGGGTGCCCAGCCCTCTCGGCTGGTGACAATGTGACAACAACTGCCATTTACTGGAGGCAGTGTGGCAGGTCGAGAAGAGGGCAGGCCCTGTTCTCAGACCCCTGGGTTTCAGCAGGGCTCTGCCTCACCTGCCGCCCACCTACCTCACCCTGAGCAAATCTGCTCAACTGCCGGTGCCTCGGGCTCCTCAGTGGCAAAGCTGGGACAAAACAGAGCCTACTGTGCGCACAGTGTGTGTCCTCAGCGACTGATGTCTTGGGTCCTCCGGTCTCGGGTGACCTGGGAGCCATCACCCACAGTGTGGCCATCCCACTGAGGAAGGGGGTTTGGGGGCCACGCAGTTTCCAGAAAAGACATCTGCCCCGCATCAGGAAGCAGCTTGGGAAGTTCCACGCGGATACGCTTGCTGCTTCATCCTCTGGCTCCTGGCTGCCCCCGACGCGCTGGCACGCTCACTGCACTGCTGTCTCTTCAGAGGGCCTGCTCCCGGCAGGGGCGGGTCTCCCTTCCTTCATTTCCTCGCTGGGCCAACACTGGCGTCCCAGAGGCCATTAACGGGGGTTTCTGCTTCTGCGCACCTCAAATTCACATTTCTGGTTCTTTTTTATTTTGGGGTGTCTGAGCGCACTCTGCCCTCTCCCCTGTCTCAGCTCCTTTTGCAGGAGCCGCCTGGTTTGCTGCCTGCCCAGGCCCACGTCCCCTTTCTCGGCGCTCCCACAGAATGATCCAGAAAGGGCACCAGTCGGACAGCGGGCGGCCTCCCTGGGAATGCCGGGCCTGGTCTGGCACACAGCTCTTTTCTAAGAAGGAACATCACCACTGGGAACCTCATGAAGACCTCTGCTCGGACGGGCGTCCCTCAAAACAGGGGTGATAATCCGGGTGACCAGAAATACAAAACATTTAAATAAGTTTTATGAGATACAATAGTGTGCCAAGAGCAAGATGGCAGGGGAAAAGAAGAAAAAGTTGGGAATACAGGGATTCCACGCTTTTCATTCATTATTTTGGAAAAGAGGGTCCTTCTCAAAATGAAGAAATGATGCGGAAAACAGATGTGCAATATGCCTACTTGAAACTTAAGATTTAAAAAAAATTATTTATAAGGAGAAGGGCATGAAAATTTAATTTAATGTTCACCCTAGGTAATTTTGTGTCTTATTGTTCATAGCAATTACCATAAATCTGCATATCAATAAGCGAGAACAGATGTCAGTTGTTACAAGCGCTTGCCAATCAGGTCTGTTAGAAAGTGACAGATGGGTGGTTATAAAACGTTCCTAAGGCCCATTAGCACATTCGCAGGAAGTGTCTGCGGTGCAGGGTGGGAGTCAGGCCTCGGGAAGCACAGGAACCCTTGTGGGCCCAGGATGCGCGCACACCTCACACCTCAGGAGGGTCTCCCACGCCGGCTCCTCAGCCTCCAATGCAGTTTTCAAAATGCCTTTCCTCTTGCCACTTATCACAGATATTCTAAGACAGTCTTCTGTAGGAAATGGGTCTCAAACTGACAAACGCATCGCCATGTTGTTGTTGGAAGCAAATATCCACACTCTATAATTTTACTGCTACTTTTAAAATGTGGACTGGACACTGTGAAAGGGAATCGCCAGCAGCTGTATTGAATATCGGAAGTAACGTGAACACTTTCTCTTGTTTAGCAAAAGATACACTTCTTCGGCCATGGCTTCAGTCTCTGTCATTTCCTAACAACGGCCCCTTGCCCTAGAAAAAAAAAATTCCCCTAACAGAAAGCAAACCACTCTTACACACTTGAAATGTTGTTCAAAATGAAGGGGGGGGCGCTGTCTCTGCATTGCTTCTGTCTGAGGAAATGTGGGGTTCTTCCTGCATTTTTTTTTTACGTACAGCTTGGACTCGGCCTGTTACTTGGCCTGGCAAACCCTCTGTGCAGGTGAGTGCTGCAGCCTGACACACCTGAATTTGCTGAGACTCTGAGCCCTGCCGCACAGGCTCGGGGGCAAGAGAGCTCAGGTTTCAGGGTCAGGCTGAAGTGGATGTCAAACTGGGGTCAGCTGCTTGCCGGGGTCGTAATTTTGGGCAAGTTTCTTAAGTAAAGGTCCCTAAGCCTCAGCTGTCCCACCTGTAAAATGAGATGCTAACAGTCCCTGCCTCAAGGTTGTTTGGTATTTGGGAATTCTGTATCCTAGTCCACATTGTGCCCCTGACTGGTGCTGTGGTCTCACAGTACTTATTTCATTTCACACTTCAGTTCTTCCCATTGTAATGTAGCAATGAAGGGGCGCCTTTGTTTTGTCCTGCTATGAACGTGAATGGCAATGTTATCTCAAGGAACTCTGCTAAAAACAAAACCGTAACATACCGCCCTTGTTTTTCTAAAACGATCTTCTTTTGAGATGACAGTTCCCACACGGAAATTAATGACCAAAAAGCCACTTGTCGCTCATTCATCCTTTTTCAGGGAGAATCTGTACTTTGAGCCTAAACTCAGACCCAAGTTTCTGAGATTTGAGAAATTCATGTAACAAATACAACCGTTGAGTGACAAAATGGACAAGTTTTTATTATAGGTTTGAAGAAGGAAAAATCAACTTCAAAGATGCAAAAAAGTCCACATAAAAGTATTCAGATGATTAAGATTTGATCCCAACCTATTTTCTGCTTTTAAAATCCATATTTAATAAAGGTGTCCTTTTATAAAATCATGGAACACATTTTGACTTGTAGTTTGACAGGAAAGTATAGTTGATGTGCCATTCAGTTTTATTAATGCGACTACTTAGTACCTTGTCATCTAAAATTTCTTTTTCTGCTTCTTTTTTTTTTGGATTTATTTTATTTTCTCTTCAAACAGCAAGTGTTTTTTCCTCATTCGAATGATACATTTTAGTCTCTGGTGATAAACCTGAATCTCCTGAAGAACAGACCATTATGTTTTGAGAGCTGTTCACAACAAAATATTATTAGTTTCCAAGATGGTATTTCGCTCGCTTTGGTGAGTGTTGCACACCGGAGTACTTGAATTTTATACGTGAGTTTATTACACGGCGCCGTAGACACAAAACCGGAGTCTGACTTGTGCAGGTGCCCACGGCACGGGGCCACAATCTCCACCACCTGGCGAGCACTTTAGCAAACTCAAGTGGGGTCTGGGATCGGTGCCCTCTGGGTCCTTCACGTCCCTCCCACGTATGTGCCATGGACCACGTGTGCCATGACATGCGTGATGTTGTACAAATTTTCGTACATCTAATTTCAAGTCCTCGCTGACTTAACCTATGAAGATACTGTCCTTACTTTATATAATGTTTTTTTGTTTGTTTGTTTTTTTTTTTTTTGCTTAAATGTAAGGCTAATGCCAAATTTCTTAATTAAGAAGCAAGGCAAGCCCTGGCTGGTGTCGCTCAGTGGATTGAGTGCGGGCCTGCAAACCAGAGTATCGTGGTTTGATTCCCAGTTCAGGGCACATGCCTGGGTTGCAGGTCAGTTCCCAGCAGGGGACACATGAAAGGCAACCATACACTGATGTTTCTCTCCCTCTTTCCTTCCCTTCCCCTCTAAAGATAAATAAAATTAAAAAAAAAAAAAAGAAGCAAGGCATTTAACTTAAGTGCCATTGGGAACATACCCCAAACATAAATTTGAGTATGTCATTTTATATATTTGTTTCCTCATTTACTCAAAAACAGGCACAAGCCCCTCTCAGAGGAGTGAGGGCTGGTATCAGCTTGGGCCACCCCCCCCCCCAGACACGGATGACTCAGGAGTGTCAGGGGGGAGGAAGGAAGGGAAGGAGGTGAGGGCTCTGGAACACCCTCCCACAGCGGAGCTGGGGACACCGCCTCCAGAAAGTGGCCTCTATTACCAGTTCACGTTGTAGTGACTGGCAAAGATAAAAGTTAATAAGCTTTTTGGGAGATGACCAAAGAGCAGGATGTCACTTAGCTTCACCTTATTGAAAAAACAAAAACAAAAAAATGAAAAGAAATCCCAAACCATAATCCTTCAAACACTTGGGAAGGTGAAAACTTGATTATGTTTATGAATGAAGGGCACCCTTCAGAGAAAAATCACCCAGCAGACAAAGCCTTGACAACGACATCCTTAATACTCTTATGTTAAGGCCATGGCCCATATGGACTGCTCAGCACTTGCTCTCCCAGCTTGTGCAGATGCAAGGCGTTGGATTTAACATACTGAAGATTCAAGAAAGGGGTATTTTGGAAAGCCCAGCACACTCAGCGAGTGCCTTAAATCAGCCACCTCCATGTACCTTCTAAGGTGATTCCCAGATACCCTCAGTCTTTCAGTGAGCGCGCAAAGCACGTGAGTGCTGACATCCTGACCGGGTGCAGTGAGGCAAAGGCACAGTGTCAGGAAAAGTGACAGGGCACACCGTCCACCCAGGAAGATGTGTTCGGCAGTAGCCTGAGGCTTCCTTGAGGGAAAGACCCTAATTTTGGATCTGGGTGGGTCCAAACTATTACAAGAGAAACAAATCTTACATCAGCTGAAAATGTGACAAATCTTACCATTTATTTTGGAGCTTGCAATCTGGAGGTTTTCTCTTTTTAAAACACAGAAAACTTCCTGAATATTTTGCTCAGGGCTTCTCGGAACTAAGAATACATTAACCATTCAATCTGAGTCTTAGCTCCAAGGCTAGCTTCCTAAACCGTGGCCATAAAGATACTGATGAATGATTTAACTACTTACATCATATGAACACATATATATTTTTCCCAATAATCCAAAAGCTATGCTGACAACAGAACAGGCCGGCAGTGCCAACAAACTGAAAGCCCAGGGAATAACCCCGCAGTGTTTTCATGGCAGCCAGCACGTCCCATCAGATGACAGGTCACCATTAGCCTGCGAGGCCACAGGGAAAGGCTGGGCTGACGATCACGGCACACAAACCAGGAGAAGCCTACGTACGCACATTGCAAGTCTTTCCAAATCCACTCAAAGTGAAACAAGAAAAAAACCAAGGATGTGTATTTGGGGGGAAAAAAGAGAAAGGAAAAAAGGAGTTTTCACAGTGACAGATAAAGAAATCAGGCTTTTAGTCTGCATATTGACTCAGGGTGTCCTTGATGAAAACAAACTGCCTTATTTTAATGTGCCAAAAATCTGTTCTTCTCCTTGCCTGGCTCCCCACCTCTCTGGAAAGAAACAAGGAAAAGCTTTCTCACTGTTCCTTGCAGCAGGTTAATGGCACCTGTGTTCTGATTTATTGCACAAGCTGCCGTCCCTGGCCCCGTGGTAAGTTAGGGTATCAGCCTGGAAGGTGACACAGCGGGAGTGACCTTTCACTAATCACTGCACCTCGGTTACTACTGACACAGCTCATTAGAAACAGAAAAACCCTTCATGAGCCGGCTTTCAGTACAGCCACACTTTGATTTTCTCGAGAACAGAGATTATACTCTTGCATAAAAGCGTCTGATGCCCAGTTCTGTTCACTGGGGTACAAAAGTGAAAAAGGCACCCTGATAATTGTCTGTGGATATCAGGGGACCGCGAACTGTAGCAAAGATAGGCCTGCAATCTTGGCTTTTATTATGGAGGTCAGATCATTTTTATTGACTGCCTGTTATTAAAATTTTAGAAGGATGTTAATCATTTCGGCTGCCCTGGATATAAGAATCTTGCTGGAAATTCCCCAGTAGCCAATCCCATTTTTAAAAATAAGAAAATGAGTATACTACGCAGGAATTCTCCATCGCTCCGTGTTGTTAATGTTGGTGATGCCAGAGGCAGGACAGCAACTTTCCAACAGCTATTCTAATTTTAACCAGAAAGGGAAGAGCGGTGGTAATTGCTCTTTGTTCCCCCCTTTTCCCTGCTGCTTTTCTTTGCCCTCTGAACCCCCTCGAATTCAGACAACAGCACCTGTCAAAAGGAAAGGCAGGGCTTGTGACTTACCAGCCATTTGCTGAATGCCACTGAACGCACCCAGGTTGCTGGAGGAGGTGGCCTGCTGCAGAAGCTGCAAAGGAAGGGAAAAGTGTGCTGTCAGCACAATGTGGAGAGGGGGGCAAAGTGACCTCCAGGTTAAACGGGGGACACGTCTTGTTTCCTCTACATTTGTAGGGCTGGCTGCTGTCGTCTCTTAATGGACTGAAGGTTCCCAGAGTTGGGGCTGTAAATCCATAGTAATGTCTAATCTCTATTACGAAACGCAGACACTGCGGAAACTCAATAACACTGCTGCCTTAAAGCATTTAATCAATTCACTCTTTTTAACAACCAGGTGTTACGTCTATTGAAACCAACATGGCATGACTAATGCTATCTCCCTGTAGTCTGGTAGTTACTGTAACTCATCTCCGTCAGTCCAGGTCCGACCCTTCTACTTGCTTTCATAGCTCTTTCCTTCGCCCCAGATTAGACGGGGGCCCACAGAGAAACCATGGTAACCACAGACATCAGTGTATCTATTCGCAGCCGTGACTACCTGACTGAGACGGTGCTCACCCATTTTTAAGATGGCCTTCACTGGCAGAGAAACACATACTCTTTGTCAAAACTTAGAAGTACGTGGTGGGATGCTGCACTATGCATTACAAATACATCAGCATCTTTTTTAAAGTTACCATATCTGTGAAAAGGTGTCCGCATTTCTCCCTAGAGATCTCAAAAACACATTTTCCTCCACGTAGAACCACAGTGGCTACCACATGGTAAAGGCAGGTGGTTACTGCCCTAAAATGCTTCGATATTTGCCCCATTGGCTTGACTTATAGGTAAACACTCAGGTGCTATATTAAGTGTTTGAATTGATTCATTGATTATCTTCTATTAAGGTTGATCAATAGAGTTTGTATAGAAACAAGCATACAGTTACCTCCTGTACTCAAATGTACATAAACACCAACCAGCATAGATCCCCTCCAAATTTACTACTGAAAACTGCCATGTGCTTTGGAGGAAAAGATGAATTCACTATTTTAAAAAGAGCTTTCAGAATTTATGTGGAGCTCTGCAAAACACAATGTCGAGGACCACCATTCCTCTGGGTACATGAAGGGCTCTTCGGTTTACTAAGAAAACATACTCCATGATGATTATGACTCAAAAATAGGGAGGCAGCGATTGACTTGGAAGTGCCAAGCAGAGTGCAGTAACAGTGGCTAATTACACCAAAGACTTGGTGACAGTGATGTGAGGGGATTAACACGAGCAGTCACAGAGAAACATCTGTGATGTCTGCCCACCCCCCAAACGCTGGAATACAGGGGTGGGCAAAAGTTGGCGTACAGTGGTGAGTACACGAATAGAGTTTATTCTTGTATCGCTATTTAATTATTGTATTTAGTTGTGTTATTTTTTTCCTTATTATTTTTGTATCCTTATTTACGATTTATATTTTAGGTGATGATGGCTGGTAATCTAATGTACTTTTGCCCACACTTGTTATATTACCTAGATGTCACAGAGAGAAAAAGACACACACACACACACACACACGCACGCACAGAGGGAAAGAGGGAGGGAGGAGACAGGGATTACCCATTCTGATGAAAAATCCCTTATTTTGACTTGATTACTTGGGTTTCCCATTCTTTTGTGATTGTGACCCCTTACTCCCTCCTCCTATTAGATATTTTTAAAAATTAAAGTGAACGTAAGTTGGCTTTGAAGATATTTTGAGGAACTAAAACCCGCTGAGGTGAGTAGACTGGACTGTCATTAAACCATTGCTGAGGGCTCTTCCCACGGCAAATCCATCCGTTCTCTGGCTGGGGAGCCAGAGTCGGGACCCGCCCACGAACACAGGCAGGGGGCGCCTTAGAGGCCAGGGGCCCTCACAGAAATGAACTTCCAATTCAAAGTAGGAGAAAACACAGTAAAGCATGTATAGAAATGTGTTTTGTGAGTGAGGATGAGACTAATTCTCTTTCAGAATACAGAAATCTTTTGCATTTGTGACCACAGAAACACGGCCAGAGTGTCCGGGACAATGTGGGGCCTGGGGTACGTGCAGCAGAGCAGGCCCAGGCTGGTGTGTCTCGGTTTTGGGAAATGGTGGAGGGGGAGCTGGATTCTCAGAAACCATGAAAAGGAAAGGTGAGCTTGACTTCCATCTCTGATAAAGATTCTTATTATATACACTACTAACATGGTCTGTGAACCTCTGAAAAGCACCAGTTTGCGAAAAATAAGTTAGACTCATTTTTTTCCCATATAATTTCTAGACTGACAGACAAAGAAAAAGACATGGCAGAGCATACACAGACTTTTAGCAAGACACTGGCAAACCCTCCCACGGTGTCTTTGTGGGTCAGATGGAGCAAGGGCGTGGAAGTGGTGGTAATTGGGTCAATGGTTTTAGTGAGGGCGCAGATGAAGACAGGAGAAGCATGCTCTTCATTTATTAGTCAAGTGTGTGTCGAATAGCTATTACATGCGGGGCCCCAGTAGGCAAAAAAAGGAACAGGAGACGTGTCTGTTCTCTGAGAGGCAGCCTGGCCACAAGGAGAGGACACACAGAGGGCTGCGTCCTGCTGGACCGCCCGCGCGACTTCAGGTCCAGTGAGGGAACCTTTCTGACTGGCACAGGTGAGTGGGCCGACTTCTCAAAGCCACGGGAGGACTATTTTGCAGAACAGGACAGGTTCTGCGACAAAGTCAGTGTAGTGGATAATACAGTCCCGGGAGGGACAGCGTCGGGACACAGACACACAAACACGCACACACACGCCGGCAGAGGCTGGGAAGAAGGCCCTGTCGCACCACAGGAAATCTCATGAACAAACGTGGAGCCCAGCATTTAGGTTGAAACTGAGAAAAGGTGTACAGTGGCATGGTTTGGCAGGAGTTCGAGGAAAGCTAAGTGAAAACTTGGAGGCGCACTGGCTGCCTTCGGGGCGGCACGCGGCACGGTTACTGCAACGCCACTCTCAGGTTACACGGAGAGATTTTTGAGCCCACACTAGGGCCACTGCTTGGTGCTGCTGAGGTCTTACAAGGGGAACTGTCTTAAATGCAGGCGACTGTGTATTAACAAAGACACTGACAGAGTGAAATATAATAGGTGGCTCCCAGAAAAATCAAGAAACCAAAAAGTGTAGAGACGATGAAATGTGAGGGATGACTGAAAGAACTGGGTCTATTTGGCCTGAAACCAGATCTAAATTTTTGGTATCAAATAGATAAAGTAAGAAATATTTCATCTAGTCAACAGAGTTTCGCGGGAAGACCTGGGATCACTGGAGGAAAGTTCCATGTGGATTTCACCGGAGGCCCTGATGTGGAATGGACTGACCTCTGAGGCAGTGAGCCCCCCGACCCTGTGGCCTCGACACCCTTAAATAACCGCCTGTTGAGGAATTTAGCCATGTGGGACTCTGCTCAGCATGTATCAGGCAGGAGTTAAATTAGTCATGTGCTATGCTAACCCACTTAGCTTGAAAAAATATTCTGCATCAGTGCTGATTTCAATAATCTCCTGAGACTCAAAGCGCCCCTTAAATGAATTCTTTGGCATACTCAGGGGACAAGTAGGTTGTAAGAGCTGCAGCTCCCCTCTCTCCTGGGGACCGAGCCCTGAGCCGCCTGCAGCACTTACCGCCAGGTACTGCGGGGTGAGTCCGCCCAGACCCGTCAGGTTCCCCCAGGTGGCAGTGTTGAGCTGTTGCATCTGCTGTGCGAGCTGCTGCTGGAGGCGTCTTTGCTCTTTGTCCTTCTGAGTGTCAGCGAACTTCACCACAATAGGTGAAGAGCAGCCCTGTGGTCAGACACAGCGGAAAGTGAAGAGGGAGTTACAGCCTGGTCAAATCCGCTCATGAAACTCAGCACTGGAGTTAGCTTTCTGAACTATCTGGGAGCAACATGGAAGGGTCTGGAATGGTTTTTAAAATGGTGATATTCCTTCTTCTCTGAACTGCAACATCAACAGAAATTTCCAGATACTGTCATTGGTTTCTTTGGGGATCTGGTGGTCGATGGAGCCATTTGTTTTCTTGTTCTCTTTATTAAACTGCCTCTCCTTCCTTCCTTCCTTCTTCATGTGTCTTCCTTCAACCTTCTGAGGACCTCCTCAGAGACGAGAGACCTCATCAGTGTTCTTTAACTAAGCTTCATGGTTTACCTGTCTGAGAGATAGGCCTGTTTTGTGTGTCTGCCTCTTTCCACATGTGAACAGGAGACAAGCTTGAAGGTGGGAGTTGTGATGGGAATAAAAACATCTCTCATTCATTTGTTTTTTCACTCTCTCCAATTTTCAGTTATGTATTTTTAAACTGGAACTGTGGGGATCACATTGATCCAGCAACATAATGAGGAGAAGTGGATTTGTTTTTAGAAACACGGATGAATGAAGGAGATATTCACAGAACATAGGCAATGACCAACGTAACTGTTCCCATGTTTTCAGAAAGATCTCTTCTTTCCATAGCAAATCTACATTATCCACAGTCCCAGAGCTACTGTGAACCAAAAAAAGTGTAGTTTAATCAAAGGAGATATAGCATAAACGGTAGAGGGAGAAGTCTACTTGACTTCTTTTTCTAACAAATTCCAGCCTTCTAGGTGCTTCTTTCAGGTTTCATTTCCTTCAAAAGGAAAGGAATAGGGGTGGTGAGGAATGGCCGAGGGTTATATAATAGGGCGAACTCATGTCTGATACAGATGAAATCATTAGGGAAAAGAAGGGCCTAACTCCCCAAGGCCTCCTCATGGAAGCACCTTTCAAACAGCTGCGCTGGGCAAACCCTCCACAGTTCTCCCCGCTCCCCATCTCTTCTCCTTCTTAAGTGCAGCTTGCCTTCCCTTTTCATCACAACTAAGGCTGTTAAAATTTTGCTGAGGTAAAAAGAACTAATTCTACCCAAGTGATTAAAAAAAACTTCCATTGAAACTCAGCATGATAATAGACCTCTCTCACTCCTCTCAGAAATTTTATATTCCTATTTAAATGAGCTTTTCCTTTCTTTTCCCTTTGGGTCACTTTTCTTTCTCCTAGAAAACAAACTTGCATTTCTTTATCACCTTGGGTCGTTACTGGGGAGGCAGCTAGGAAGATGCGAGGCTATCATGTCTGTGGTTACCAAAAAATGTGAAAGAATGAGGTGACTTTGTTGAATTCCCAGCGTGTTGGTCTTCAGCTCTGGTAGCCAAAGTCACAGTGCAGAATGTTAAGTGTCAGAAAATTGCACAAAAGTGGTATTTCCACCATTTTTTTTAAAAAAGCTATGCTTCATTTTTCTTCATCTGCTCCGTATTTCAGCACTTCATTCCTTAAAGAGGGCAAAATACTCTGAAGAGGAAAATTATATAGAGAAAGGGTTTTGCATGGAAAAGGGTTATTATGGCTGTACCAAACTGTTCCATAACAAATGATAGCATCTCCTCCTAACAGTACACTTACTGTTGTTTTTCTTCTTCCTTAAATATGAAAGGATGATATAAAAGCAGAAAATCAGGCCAATGATTACAGCTCAACTACTACTTGTTTAAACCATGAAACGGAAAAATTGGATAGGAGTAGATTGGAGGAAAGTAGAAAAATAAAAGGTACAATATTATAAATTAATTATTTTAGAAAATGTGTCCTTTAAACTTTGACATTCACATCATTTTCAATTCGAATCTCTTAAATAATACATCTTGATTAAAGATGTGAGCCAGAGTCCTGAAAATAATGTAGTTCGTTAAAAAAACATACTTCAGTTGTATCACTATAGTGTAACTGCATAATGTATCATTTTCCATTCGAATGTCAATATTTTTTTTTTTTTTTTTTTTTTTTTTTTTTGTAATTAAACAAGACATTTAAGTGTCTGAGGGCCTCGTTCTTTAAGCATGGATGTCCAGATTTCAAACATGTGCACCAAATTTGATTTTTTATAGTAGGTATTAATAACAAAGGATCAAGGACTTCTTAGGAATCAGTACACCCCATTCTGTACAGCAGCACCTTCCCACTCTGAGAGCCTGCCGTTCCTAGGGCTGGGTTCACACCCGGTCTGCTTCCTGTCCGCTCCAGCGGCCCCTCTGTGCTAACAGGGGCACCCAGCCTGCACTAGCCCTCTGTGGCTCCGCTGGTGGGGGGCGGCTCTGAGCACAGAGTCTGGAGTGGCTATGTCTCTAACAGAGCTGAAAGAATTTAGACTAAAAAAATTATCTAAGATGAGACCAATTCAGGTACAAATCACTCAGTTATGGAAAATAAAAATAATTAAGGATGAAACACATACATGGAAGATAATAAATACAGGTAAAGACTTTCTTTTTCCTAACAGCACCTGTTTTAATCTCCAAACTGAAATGGAGCTGGGAATCAGACTGATCCACAGTAATGGAGCAGCCCAAGTTAAGATAAAGGAGGGACAAGAACTGCCACACAGGTGACTGCATGTTGTACAAGACTGGCTTCCTAGGTATTGCACATCCTGCTAATTATTTCCTATCATGGCCGGATTTTCATCTGAGCTTGCCTTCAGGTAGGGGGGTGGGAGTATCTTAAAAATGCATTGCACTGAAAGGAAAACACAGCGATTATATAAGATATGTTAGGAGTACCAAAGTCAAAATGAAGTTCGAAAAAGACAATAGGCTTTGCAATGCTGATATCAAAACTCAGAAAAGTACAATAAACACTTAGTGACAAGGCCATGCACACTCATTCCCCCCTTCCCACCCACCTTTTGGCTCACCATAAAAAAGGTGCCCACAAAACAGGACGCATAATGAGCACTTAGCTCCCAGCATGCTTTGGGAGATGCAGCATTGCAAAAAACAAACAAAACAAACAAATAAAAAATACCCCTCCCCCAAAAAATGGAGGCCAAAAGAAGCTCAGTCAATAAAGAAATTTTTGCAGATTAAATAAAATTGAAAAAATTTTCCCCGAAGATGAAAAATATAACTTCAGATAAAGCCACAAGGCCACCTGTGGAAGAGCTCACCCATACACGAAGATACAGTGTACATAATACAGCAGCACATGCACTCCCAAATGGCTCTATCAGACAGTACAGAATGAGTAACAGCATATCACTCATGGAATGCTTTTGTGCAAAATTCTGAAAGGCCATGACCCAAATCACAGACTAAAAGTATAGAGCCATCTATCTTGCATTGGTGGGTGAACACCCACACCAACGTATTTATCTTCCCTTAAATCTGCTATGTCTCATTAGGAGACCAAATTTGAGCCTTTATGTTTCTGGGTTATTGTTCATTTTTTTAGTAAGGAGACAAATCTAATTATTCAAGGGACTCTCATCCAAGAGTATTGTCACTGTTTAAATGAAGTGGGAGAAATAGTTAATTTCTCCCACATTCTTGATACAAAAACACAATTCTGTTTGACTAAAGAAAACTTGATCCCACATTAAGAAGCAAAAAAACCCCTGTGAGCACAGGGCAAGTTGCAATTTGGAGTGGGGGTTGCCCATATTTAATCCGTACTAACCTTGGGCTGAGGAGTGGATGTGACCCTTTAGGTACAAAATATTACTTGGCTTAAACTGCATCATGACCTTACATGGCAGACCCTTGGCCACTGTAATAAAAGGCTCAAGAAATAATAGAGAGCAGGTGGAAGGCTTTCCTAAATCCATTTCAAGTCATTAGGGAAAAGACTGAGAAAGAGAGAGAGAGGGAGAGAGAGAGGGGGAGAGGGAGGGAGGGAGGAGAGAGAATGAGTATGAATGAATGGAGAAAGATGGTGAGAGTTTAAATCTGTGATTGTCATGTGAACGATGCACACAGGAGAGAACTGCGTTACCATCCCCATCATTTGCACAAAGAAAACAAAGAAAGGGCAGATGATACAGTACCTCCATGGTCTGAGACTGGTGCATGGCTTTGATTGCATTCTGTGCCATTGCCCTTGTAGAAAATGTGACAAACGCACAGCCTGTGGGAAACAAGGGGACAGGGAGCAGGAAAGACAAAAAACAACAAGACAAAAGGGTTGGACGCTTGTTAAACCAACACGGTCTACGAGAACTGCCACAGGACGACACTGTTCTCAGTAGTACATAAAAATAAACAACTTCTCCCTTTGGTTGTATCGTATTTTGCTTTTTATTCACAGTGCTGACTTGCTAATCTGACCAAAGTAGAAAGATCTGCCGATTGATTAGTTTATTTTTTTTAATGGAGACAAGGAGAAGGAAGTTGGGTACTCTTTCTAGCCACGGGTTTGAAATTAGCAAGATCTAGTTTACATTTTCTAAAATAAAAAATTGTTATTTTACATTTTCTGCCTGACTGATTATCTCTACTTAGGGCATAAACATATTAGGGCTCTGGATTTCAAATTTTAGTGTTGATTTTTAAGCAGCAAATAATAAAATCCTCCAAGGGCAAATGAGCATAAAATTCCAAGAGCTTGAAATGTCAGCAAATAAATATATCTAATCTCTTCTGGGTAGTTAAAAAATATACGTGTATAAATATACATTGATGACATTCAAATGTAAACCAATATACCAAATCCTGCACAAACCAGCACTTATTAATTATGAACAAAAACAAATGCTATAGTATTCTGAGAAGACTCAACAGTGCATATAAAGCAAAAACTTTAAATCTGCAATGGATTTTTTTTATTTGTGTAGAATCTTTATGACTTTTGGAAGTTGTGAGTTTCTGATACGTACCAGCGATTTGACCTAAAGTCTAACATTCACGAGACAATGTACATTACTTCTCTGAATGTCTCCTGTGAGACCCATCGCACAGTCCATGGTTTTTTCTTGTCCTGAAAAATAACTAGACTCCCCAGTGCCTGTCCCTGCACCTCATAGCCGCACTGGCCACCAGGCAGGTCACCACTGCAGCTACACAGCTCACGGCCCTTTCCACTAATAAAAACACAGCCTTTTGAAATTCACAGTTTATTCATTGTGCACCCTTGGGCTTCTTAGAGAAAAAGACTGTGAAATTAATGCAGATTCAGGCTGATTTTTATAATAAAACCACAGCACACTAAAAGCTGAGCTGAAGCAACGCAGACTTATTTCACTTAGGATCTCTAATGACTTTAAAAGTGCATTGATTTCCAGCTTGTTTAGCCTTGCACAGTTTGAACTTAGGTATCAGAGAATAATTTAGTGTTCCACTCAATTTACTCAAAACATTATTATTATTAGTACTTAAAAGATTTCCAAATGAAGCAGATCTAAACACCGAGAGGCTGAACAGCCTGTTGTCATCTCAGAGTGAAGGCAAGAGAGTGGTGTTCTGGCATCAACACGGCGAGATAGTTGCCCTTGTTGCCAGGACACCCAACAGAATGTTCTACATCTAAACCATCAGTGGATGGTCTGCGTTGCGTAAATCCATTTGCGAGCCCTAAACCCTATTTCCTTCTTTTGTTCTACATGTGTACCTGGTGAGATTATCAAGTCAATACTGTTCTAGCACCTTTTACCCAAACAACAATGCCTGTCCATTAACCCAAAAGCACAACAACATCATCATAAAATAAGTCAATGCATTTTTTTTGCATTATGCTGCAATTTTTAACACACAGAACTTTCAGTGAATGGCTTGATTGACCTTGCATTCATCTCCCAGTAAAGCTGGCCTTCTGAGGCCTGAAGGACAGTTTACTAGGAATGCTTAGCTGGGCAGAGAGTTCTTTGACGTCAGAGCAGCTGGTGAAGCTTTTACTTAAAAATACTGGCGGCAGGTTTTGTCATCAATAAAAGCAATTTGGCAACCCACGCCAAGGCACCTAGATGACGTGCGTAATAGAGTGTGAGACAGGTGACAGGACCTCTACCGGCTTCCATATCAATACTCAGCTCTATGGTGAAATGACAGTGCCCCAGATTTACCATCCATTTCAAAGGCATATCTCTTTGAAACCACTGTCATTGTCACAGATGTTACTGAAAGAGGAAGTAACACCAAGAGATCTTTCTTTTCCCGTTTCTTGTCTTGAGAGCACAATGGAGGCAAAAGCAAATGGTCGAATGGAGATATATTTGAAACCATGCGAAGCTGAGACTGACTCCTTTTCATAGTCAAAAGAACTGTTTCCTTCACTTCATTTGCTCTTATTATCCAGGAACATGTGCCAAACTGACAGCTTCCAAATGGAGGTTAGGAAGGCATTAAAAAACAAAATGTCAACAACAATCAATAAGGCACAGTTGACACATTTACCACAATTTCGGAACAAGCGGGACTTTTGTAAATAGCTTAGAGAGAGGTATATAGTAATTAACAGGTCTAAAAAGAAGAGTGTTAGCAACAGAACAATGAAATTATACTTCTACAAACTCAACCCATTGCCCTTTCGGGTATGAAACCTGCAATTAAAGCTTCACTGACACTTCTAATTATATGATCCTCGTCCCAGCCCAGAATAAACGATGTGCCAGCTCTGGTGACTTCTCTAACCTTTTTATTCTAGTGGCAGTAGTACAGTAAGGGCGAAGTCGCCTTCTCCGTGGCTCTGTTCAGTTTTGTACTGTGCGCTGCGTTCAGTTACTTTGGAGAGAAAATTACTGTGTCATTTATGAAGTGAGAGCACATGTTGAAAAATTTCGTTCTCTATGCTCCTCTGGAGGAAGTTAAGCAACTTCAGAACCAAATATTTCATGGATTGGTGGCTTTTTAACCTGTGTAATTTCTCTAAAACAATAGGTCTTGGTAGTGCTAGGGCTGGATTTCAATTTTCTTCCAACACTGCTGAAAATGCTGTGGTGGTAATTTAGGGTTAGACCTCACAAGTGTGGCTTTTCAGCCACATGAGCTCCTGCCACCAGGAGTGGCTGCTGGCTCCTTCTGCAAGTTGACCAGACGACTGTCTGTGGACAGAAATAACTTAAGTCATAATTATCCACTTTTCTACTAAAAATTTGCTTCTGGGTGCAGTGGGGGGGGGGTCGTCACAGAGTCTTGACAGGACAACTGCCCTGATCTTGAAGGGTCTTCTCCTTAACTTTTCTAGCCTCCTGTGTGTGCTGTCTCAGCAGCCAGTTCTCAGGCTACTGACCAAAACACAAGAGAAAGTGGATTCGGGAGAAAAGATGCATGCGCCCCAACAATGAAGCTACATTTTTGGGGGGGCAGATGGGTTAGATAAGATAGTCTATATGTTACCATCTTAAGGCCTCCAAAAACATAATAGCAAAAAAAAAAAAAAAAAAAAAAAAGAAGAACAAGAAAAATTTTCATCTGTAAATGTGGACAACCTTGCAATTATTTATTATCTCCATTTTCGGAAAGTGAGAGGTTGCTAGTAAAAATGAAAGGAGTTTAATTCCTTTTATTTCAGCGAGGTTGCCTTCTTGCTGCTAAAACAGATGAATGATTGACTGGGGAAAGGTTTCTCAAAGTAATTTCCTCCTACAGACAGGATCTAGGGAAAACACGGGCCCTGTCACAGAGAAGACTTTGGAACACATCTATTACACTTGTCATCGCAACTGAAAGGGTAGCTTAACTCAGGTGTTCTACCTTTTCTCTGGGCTGCAAGAGGATTTTTAGAGAACTCGATGAATTCTTCCTCTGTGCACACAAAAAAATACAAGCACTTCAGAAAGCACGTACAATGCCCGGGCCTCTTTTGTGCTTCTTCTCTGAAAAAGGCGCAGCAGCCTGCTGTATTTCAATGGAATAAAGTGTAATTTAAAATAACGTGTGTAGCATGAAGGAGATTTCAACCTATGCAAAACTTGTTTATAAATTCTCATTCTGCCAAGAAAAGATCATAAGGCAGCCAATTCCCCTCACTGCATCTTTCTGGGCAGGGGTTATTAAAGACACATTATCAGCATAGTAATAATGGAGCGCCACAATTAATACTCTAATCAACCATTCCCAATGTTGGCCCATTTATTTTAAATTGGCATGGAGAGATCGTTCACTTATGGCACCTAAGGTTGAGGGCAGACTAGGACTTAATAGCTGGCACAATCTCATCTCTGACACGAGAATGGAAGATCGTGCCCAGGGCAAGATGACAAGGTACAGTTAATGAATAATCCAGGGGGTGTTTGATGGAAGTTCCTACGTTTCTGAATGCTAAGGTATTATGCAGGCTAGACTAAAATGTTGTGATCAAAACTGAGTTCTCACTGTGTACATGTTTTACGAGTCCAACCCCCCATCCTGACATCCTGACCAGATATAACAAAAACAAATGAGGATACTAGGGCTGAATCCAGCCTGTGCTCGCCAACATCCCTGAAAATATTGCCAATTCATTTGTCAAGGGTTTGGGCAGGAGAATGTTGGAATACCATAAACACAGCTGGAATATTCTTAAACAAGAGAAAGTTACCTTAAATGGCAGTGGAGATTTGACTACAGTTTTTGTGAAAGAAACATGAAATAAATTCCATCATTGTCTTTGAATTACAAATATTCAGTTGCCATGGTATGGAAAACCTTGTAAACTGTGCCCAAATAGTCCATTCTGACTGATGGGTTATGGGTGAGAACAAAGGTGTATTTTAGGAAATCAGCATGCTAAGGTAACACCGTCACACAAATGCACTGGCTCAGAGCCTCAAGTTTTGATTCCAAGAGCCCACATCTCCTTTGACTTGCCAGGCATGGGCTCCCAGCACGCTGCTTGCTTTCTCAATGAAGGCTCATGAAACAGGCCTGCGAGGTCAATCTGCCGTTGCAGGACGAGCTGAGTATTATTGACTGTGCTTGAAAGCATCTCAAACCAAATCTTTCAAATTAGAAAAGATGGCAGACCAGGTTACTGCCCCCAAAGGGGAAATGCATGTTTAGATGTGGGCATATGGCATGACGTGAGGCAGAGTCCTGCTACTTGCTGAGTGGCTCCAATGTGCTTGGCAGGTGCGAGGTGGTACCTGTGTACAGTTGTGACGGTTTCGTGGGGGTGGGGGCCCGTCTTGGAACATGACACAGACTTGAGTGTGGGTGAGTAATGATGGGACTCTTAAAATAATCTTTCTTGCCAACAGGTAGGTTGTGCCTTTTTCACAGATAGTGATTCTCATAGGAAGCAGAGTACGGCTTGATAGGTACCAAGTTGTGGGTCCTGGAAGCCCAATAGTCTGGCTCAGTGAGGGGCGCTGAGTCAACAAGCCTGGAGAAATGTCAGCTCAATACCTATCAGGGAGGAATTTAAAGCGCTGATGTGACAGAGAAGAAATGACATCAGACACCTATGAGAGAGCAACGGCAAGCCCGTAGCTGGAAAGCAGACAGAGAAAAGTGAACCACCCCAAAAAACTCTGTCACTGACTACTTTATACCCTGGCTTAGTTACTAGGAAGTAATTTTCAGAGCAGCCAGGCCTTCATTTCACTTAATTTTTATTTATTTTTGAAACAGCTGAGCCAGCAACAGGCACTGAGACCAGAAGTGCTGAGCACCCTTTATCTGTGGTGCCACTAATGGGAGATACTTATTAATATTTGATTGAAAAGCACAATTCTTTAATGAAAGCAAAATAGTAGCATGAAAGAGGATTTTTCCTTTAACAAATACAGTGATTCAGGAGCTGTACCCTGTACCCAGGAGTCCCTGGGTTCTGCTCATTGAAAAACCCACCACTGTCTGCCTTTGTATTTCAGAACAAATGGTTATAAATGAGTATTTTCTTTTTTGCCATAGGGAATCTCATCAGTTCACCAGAAATTACTTTTTTGTTAAAAAAAATAAAAGGGTAGGGAGGGAGCTTCTGCTCTCTACACTGAGCCAGAATTTGCATAAAATATTGATGAGGGTCTTCCTAACTTGTTTCAGGAACTGGCTGCTTCTGTCTAGGGCCGGTTAATTCATCGACCAAATAGCTGATCACATTGCCAAATTCTCCCATCAAGTCTTGTGTCCTGCTCTTTTCTACGAAAACTGGGGCTGCTTTAAAATCTCATCTGCAGAAATAACTCACGTCTGCTCCAGGAGCTCGAGACATTGCAGGCACCAACCGTGCATTACCGTGACCACGGGACAGACGTGAGAGGGAGGGTCACTGGACAAAGAGACCCAGCCCGGCAAAGAGACAACAGAATTCATGCCTTCCTAACCCATGGTCAAGGCCTCCAGTGCGCCACATGGATGGTGTGCTTGTACAGAAGTCTCCTGCATTGCTAACCAATGATGTACTGAGGTACACGGGACAGATGTTTCGGCTGCTGCCATTTATGAATGGGGAAACTGAGGGAGAGATGTAAGAAGATGAAATGACTATGGTAACATTCATGTCAGGAGTTCTGAGATGGGACGTGGGGGTCATCAACCCCCAAGCCACTATAAATTTTGCAAGGAGTAATTTTAGGGCCTGCTTTTCTGTTCTGAGTGCCGTGTGCCTTGGCACATGAAAAAATACAAGGAAAACACAGAAGAGTGACTGAGAACAGTAACAGGAGAGTATGGTGGCTCTAATTATGAAATTGGCAGCAGGAAGGCCTTGGGAAAATGTTATCGTGTGTGTCCCACATATTTTACCCTTTGTTTAGCCATTCTGACTTTTCCCTTGGTATTCTCTGTCCTGGTTTGTCTGCCTAGGTGGGCCCAGGTCCGTCACAGCTGTAGAAGAACCATATGATCAAATACGACTAGAAGCTCTCGTGGTGTGACTTTGCTAGGATGGGACACAGGGACCATGATGGAAAGCCAGTGTCCTTCTGCGGGGAGGCTGCACAGAAGCCAGAGGTTGTGAGGGTCACCAGCATGATGCACTATTTTGGGTGACACTGGTAACGGTACAGGTGGCCAGCTACAGGTTAGGCTGAGGCATGGGCTCTGCTGTTCAGGGATCGCCCTCAACATCATGTCTTGCTCCGTGTTTGGAGAACCCCATCTTTTCAGTGAGGGTTACGTAACAAGGGTTCAGAACTATTAGAGAACGCACAAACTGTGAGCTCCGTGCCTCCTCCACTCTTCTTTCTTTTTTCTTGAACCACCCGCAGGAGAAAATATAGGGATGGTGCACTCAAAGCTGATCCACCTCCTTCCAGTTTTCCTTTAGACTCCCTCCATTTGGGCAACTGGAGGTGGATGTGGGCGGAACACTTTTGTTCTCTGTGCTTGCGACTCTGGCAGCTGACATCACGAAACTTAAGTCTAAAAGTCAAAAGAACAAATGTTCCTCTGCACATGGTGCCGACTTAAAGTGAAATTAGGGAGACAGGTGAAAATTAGCGCTTTGTAGTTATTGCCCAACATCCTTCCACGTGCGGTTTGGGACGGAAGGGCTGTACCAGAACTGGAGGCTGGGAACAAGGAGACATTTCTAATTAACCCCATGGAACTTGCGCTGATAACTACATTAATGGGATGAAATCCTTTTCATGCTGCAAGAATATGGATTTCTTAGAAGAAACTGCAAACTACATACTACATACTTGCTTTCAGTTGGGCCTCCCCAGTCAGGAATCTATGGTCAGATGAGTGTTAACACTCAGTGGCAGCCCTCATGAGTGGTTTAAAAAGGGGGGGGTGTGGCATCGTCACAGGGGATGGCAAACAGGGAAACAGCACAGTTATTTCCAACTACTTTGTATAACTGCTGGCGAACACTGGCTTTCATCAGTGCTTGGAGCTGCAGCCTTTGCTTCTACCACAGTGACAAAGAGGAGTTTGCAATCTTCTTCTGGATGAGAGCATTTCTCTGTCACTAAAGGGACTCCCTGCGCTCAAGACCCCAGGTTTGAAAATAAGACCCTGATGCCCAAGAATGGCCCAGTTACTCCAAGTCCATGTTTGCTCTGCCCTATGTGGAAACGGGTGTTTTTCCTTGGTTTAGCTCTGTCAGGAGTCCCACGCCCCTCACATTTCTTTCAGGCACAGCCAGAAAGCCAGCAACTAAGATGAAAACAAGTATTCTGCTCCTCTCCCACATCTTCCCCTCACCCTCCAGCATCCACTTCAATTTGAGACTGCGAAGGGATGTGGAACAACAGGGCAGCCAGTGGCTTCCCATCTAACAGTGATGACCTGAGCTGTATGTTGGCACCAAGACCTTCCCCACTTGAGAAATAGAAGGTGATCATTTCAGCTATGGTGAAAAGTTCAGCTTGGGTAACTTTATCACATGGACTGTATCACAGGGTCACCCCTAGCTGCGTGTGGTGGCTACATCTACCTTGACTGTGACACAGAGCTCCAATTAGCACTTCGGGAAAGAGACTTCAGTGACCGCGCACTCACCTCGACTCAGCCCATCGGGTCCCCGGAGGATCCGGCACTCTTCGATCTGGCCAAACGGAGAAAACATCACCCTGATATCATTCTCGTTACATTTCTTCGAAACCATTCCTATGAACAATTTTCTGTCTTCCACAGCTAGGAAATAAAAATAATGCATGAGCAAAGGCCACTGTCCATCCCTTTCCCCGTAATCAGTGTTTCGTGACCACATCAAACCGGGTGCCCATCACGTGAGACCGAGTGCGGCCCCAAGGCTGACCCGAGACTGCCAGGTGCCTCTGCTCACTCCCACCTTGTCCTTCCTGAACACCGCACTCTCTGTGAGCTGGTTCTTACTCATAAAATAGCTTCAGAGGACACAGAACACCAAGAAATTCTCTCCCCCTATTTGGAAACTAATGGGTATAACTAATGTAGTTGCTAAACACTACCATTCCGCGTAGATGTTTCTGGAGACAGATTGTGTGTGTGTGTGTTCTTTAACTTCAGTGACAGGGAAAGAAAAGGGTCAGGAGAGGAAAAACAAAAGGAGCAGATAATTTAATGGAACAGTAAACAAAACGGTGAAGAAAGCATTTGAGGGATGAAAGCAGCCTTCTCTGATTTCACATGGCTTCTTCCCCACGGACCCTGAGAGGAGGAGGAGATGAGAGAGGCCCATTTCTCTGGAAACCGAGTAGATGACCTCTGTCCTCAGCATGGGCTCTGCGGCCCCAACCAGGACAGCACACGAGGTCTGCGTGTTGCAGCGAAAGAGGAAGGCGATCCCCGTGAGGAGAATGGGGCTACTAGAGAATTGCATCAGGATGGCCCTGTACCAAAGAAAGAACAAGGAGGGAACACCACTATTCTTCCCACTTAGAGGCAGGCAGGACTCTTGAGCAGAAACTCACTCTGGATGTCAGGACAGCAACGTGCAAATTCTAACCTTGGAAAGTGCTGGGGGTAAAGATAAGGGAAAGTTTACCTCAGATGACCAGGGAGACTTCCCTTAAAATCCACATGCTTGTGCTCGGGAGCACTGGCCTACTTTCTGCTTGAAAGGCACCATAACAGCAGAGTTCAGGACAGTGTTGGGACTCTCTATTTTTTTTTTTTTTTAGGAGAGAGCAGGAGACTGACACAGAAACCCTCAGGGAGAAGTGGTACATATTCCCCATGTTCCATTCATTCCATTATTAGACTTAAAGAGAACAGCCGCTGCAGCAGCACCTTAGATCATCCTGGCTTAGCGAAAGGCTCCGCCGTGCACCCCTGTAGGAACCTTCTCCTTGTTTATGCTTTATCATCTTGTCATTACTATTTAATTGCTTTTATTTCTGTTTCATTCTTTTGCTAGAAAGTGTCTCATGTTCCTTTGACCCAAAAGAGCGCATTCTAGACTTTCCAGGCCCAGTCGCTTTGGGTACCTAGGTCAGAGCATGCGGTCTCTGCCCCCTGGGAGGCGGGGCAGAAGATCTGCTTGGGAAGCAGTGAGGGAGCACAGGCGTTCGCTCCCACGAGGCGCTTGCCCAGCAGAACTGGGCAGGATGGGGAAGGTTCCACTGCTCTCTGTGCAGCAGCTGAAGCCACGGGTGGCTACGAAGCACTTAAAAAATGGCTACTGTGAGTAGGAGCCAGATTTTAATGTAACCTCATGTCAACTAATTTAAATTTTAAAAGCCACACGCGGCTACTGTACTGGACAGCACAGTGCTGAGGGGCCTTAGTGAGACAGCTAAATGCTCCCGCCCCAGAACCCCAGAGGGAAGGAGGAGACCGAAGATGCTTTGCCCACCTCGAGAAGAGGTCCCGAGGCCTGGCAGGGGGAAGGGGCTCGCCCAGGGTCATGCGGCGAGGAGGTGCCCAAACCTGGACCACGGCCTAATATCCTACTGCCGTCTGGGCTTCTTTCCACTCTACTGCGTTTCCTGCAAGCCCAGGGGAGGCAGATGAGGCTTCCAGGAGGGGCAAAGCGGGGGTTAGGAGACGCAGGCCCACACAGCCGTTCAGCTGACACGTGACCTTAGAGAACGAGCTGACCTCTGTGGACCTGATTTGCCATCCATAAAATGAAGGTTTAGTCTCGTCTTCTTCTTCTCATTTCCTTTCTGTCTTTCTTAAACACTGCGGAGAGGTGGCCCAGCACATGCTTTGGCTGACTGAAGTGTATGGGGGTGGGCTGTGCCGGAGCCCAGGACCCTTCCACGCAGCCTGTCTCCTCACTGGGGCTGCTGCTGAGACGATGCAGAGAAACCGCAGGGCTCCAAGGCCTATGGGTCCCAGCCACAATTCCACAGTACCTGTCAACCACGAATGTGCCCCATAACTTTTGGGAAGGGCTTGATGGAAGATGTGGAAGTTAAGCCGGCCTTTAAGAAGTGTGGGCAGGGACCAGATGGACTGGCAGTGGGATGAGGGAACAATGTCCTAACTGGGCGGGGTACGGAATCAGGAATGCATAAGGACCATGCCTGGGGCAGATGCAGGAAGCAGCCTGGCCGGAGCACAACCCGCACGATCACTTGCTTCATCTGTGGAGAGGGGCTCAATGTGTCAGGAAGGCCACAGACGGTCCAAGGCCTCTGTCCGTGTTGAGAGGCAGTGAGCAGCCATGGACAACAGGGCCACGGGGCGATTCCTAGATGGAGATCACTGAGGACCTGGCTCCCATATACAGACACGAAATTTTAAATTTAAGATATTTTTTCTCCCTAAAGAGTAAATGAACTACCAAAGGTCTCCTGGGAACTAGTAAAAGCGCAGAAGTCAAGGGCAGCATTGGCCCAATGATGATCTAAGTGCTAGAAACATGAGATGCCCTGGAAAAGCAGCGTCCTTTCCGATGGGTGTCTGTGCTCTCCAACACCACGACGGCCACGAGGACGCCAGACTCTTTACACAGGAGAGGACGTGGCAGGGCTTAGACCCAGTGGGGAGAGATGGCAGCTGGCTGACCTGGGGCAGCAGGACTTGAACAACTTCTAGCTGTGGTTCTTATCCCCCTCCCTCCACCCCGAGTGAGCCATGGCTACTGTCTTTTTTTTTAAAATTTTATTTTAATTGTTCAAGTATAGTTTTCTGTCTTTTACTCCCATCCCAGCCTCCCCCCGCCCCCAGCCATGGCTACTGTCTTGATGAGAATCCTATTCAATTTTTTTCTGATCCTAAAGAATCTGGTTTTAGTTTTTTTAGACAAAAGCAAGTTATACATTCTCAGTCAGTTTTGGGTTTCACTGGTAAACCTATTGATTATGGTATTTAGCTAAAACAATTGGTAGATTTTGAACTTTAGAGGGATATGATACTAAAGAGAATGTGTTAATTCCTCAGTAAGCTAGTAAATGATGTTTTAAACTAGGATGAATGTTAAGAAAATGTAAACTACTGAAGAAATTGTGACTTCCTAATCACCACGAAGGGGAAGCTCAGACAGGCAGGCAGACTGATGACTCTCCCTTTTCTCAGTAATAACTATTGGTTAAAAATAAAAAAACCCTTAAAACCCACAGCACCATGTGCCAGTCAACGTGGTCATGTTTTTCATGTGTGTGCATGCGTGCTTAAAGGGAGCTGGATGTCTGCGAGCTCTCGCTAGTCAGGGCTGCTCTGCGGCTTTACCAGCCGGGCCACGTCTGCTCTCGTGGCAAAGTGGGGCCAACGGCACACTCAGCTCCGCCCTCCCGCGGGTTTTCCTGATTTTCAGTGGAAGTTCTCCTCATGCCCCTCCTCCCTGGACTGCCAGGCTGAGGATCCCTCTAAACAGCCTTGTCAACATTTTAAATAAATATAATTATCTTCCATTTACTTAACTTTTTCATCAATGTTTGATGAATTTCGTGGTGGGGTTTTCCCTAAGTAGTCCCAGGCAGTAAGTATCTCAGGTTTTCAATCCACAAGAATGCTGATTGCTTAAATAAACCCACCATGTTCACAGCATTCTGCTAAGTGCTTGAGGGAAATTAAAAGAAAACAAACCAAAAAACGTAGGGTCTATGCCCTCTCGGGAAAAAGTCGAGCCCCCTTCAGGACAGCGATGAGTGAGTGAGGGGAACACTGTGACGTACAGAGTGCTGCGCAGACGGGTTGCCGGCGTCGGTACCCACCCCCGCAGAACTGGCCGGCTCTCCAGGCCAGGGGCCATTTCAAGTTCTCCTCCCGTGGTTTAAATAAGAAGGGGTTAATATGATATGATAAGTGGGAACTTTTTTACGCTAGGGGAATAGAAATTAAACTTTAAAAACATCCCTAACTGTAAGCTTGTGCTCACACCCTGGTATACAGCCTGTCAAAGTCACACCTGGATTTGGGCGGCCTGAATTAATTAACAACTTTCCAGTGTTTTAGTGCTAACATATGGCATTTAATTACTGCCTTCGAATCCAAGAGTCTCTCCACTTTGAATCTCAAAATTGTTTCTTCATCTTCCAGTAAACCAGGAAGGGGCTGGACGGGAACACTATCCTACTCCTACGCATCTTCCCTGACAACCTTTAGTTGTATTTTGACTCCTCTAAGCTCTGAAATTGCCACCTGGACCCTCAGGATTCCAGAGGCCTTGAGCTAAGATAGAGGGCTTGAGCGGCATTTTCGGATTTGAGGCTTTAAGGACCCCTGACAAGTTGTGACGTTGGAGGGTGAAAGCAGGGTGGGTTTCTGCTGTCCCTGCAGAGTGGAGGACAGCCCTCTCAGCCAGGAGCAGGGCCTAAGAGTGAGTACCGGCTGCCACCATCAAGACCCCAAGCACAGCACCAGAGGCCACCTCTATCCTTTTCTTATCGCTCACTGCTAGACAAATTTCAGATCTAGCAACTGCATTTAACTTACTTTTTTTAAAAAAAGGTTTTGTTTATTTATTTTTAGAGAGAGGGGCAGGGAGGTAAAAAGGGTGAGAAACATCGATGAGTGAAGAAAATATTGATCTGTTGCCTCTTGCACACGCCCCAAGCAGGGGGACCAAACCTGCAGTCCAGGTATGTGCCCTGAGCGAGAATCAAACTGGAGATCTTTCAGTTTGCAGTACGATGCCCAACTTCCAACTGAGGTCACAATGGTTATGGCACAATTGCCTTTAATTTTTGACCTTGCACTGCTGGTACCTTTTCCTGGATAGTGGTGAGGGATTAAAAGCTGGAAAATGGCCTCTCAATGACACGCAAAATTAGAGAGAGTAACTAAGTTTGTGCTAGCCTACGCTGGTTCCTGAAACCCGCACCTCCTCCAGTGCCCTTCCTGCACCATCACTCAACTATCTGCAATGGAAAAAAACCCACAAAAAAAACACTTGGAGTCTCTTGAAATTTAGGTATTGACTTAGTGTGCTATTCTTAAAGGCCCCAGCATTTTATTGCTAATGCAGTGGGCTTTTTTGAGAGGGGTCACCTGGCACGGTAGAAGCATGAGTGAGTTGGCATAAATGTGCTAGAGGCTGCAGCTTAAATCAGAGGCAATGAAAAGGGCAGACTGTATGTAGAAAGCCAGGGAGGTTTCGGAAGCCGGGTCAGTAAAACACTGATGTGCAGGGCAGATCGAAGAGCGGTCCAACATTTCTGAGCTCACCACAGAGGGTCCCTGTGTCAGAGTCTCTGGACACACGAAGGCTGGAAAGAGTAATTGCTTCTCTGGAATTCATTTTTCCATTACTAATTAATCTGTGATGAGAAGCCCTGTCTTGCTCGGCAAATACAAAGTTGCAGAAATCCGAACATACTGATAATGAAGGCAGTAACTGTCTAACTGTGATGAGCCCTTTGTGCTATCCATAAATGTCAGCAAACTCAATAAAAGTGCAATTAGAGCTCGTGATACCTCTTCCACAACTGCAGGAGCTATTTCGAGCATCTGAGCCAAAGAAATCTTTGTGCTCTTTGAGCTTTGGAAACTATGCTTACCTGTCAAAGCTGCCATGTGAAATCAGAAAAGGCTTGCAGCGTTTATCACTTGCTTTAGAAAATTATACATTTCTCTGGATTCCTCCATCAGGTCCAAGGAGGACCCTGAACCCTGCTCATGTGTATGCAAGGTGAGGTCCCACTGGCACCTCCATAAAGAAGAGCACTTTAAAAGCAGATTTCAGTCCATTTATACTTTTTGACCTTTTTTTCCCTACTGGAAGTTCAGGAAATGAAGCTCTATCTACAAAGCAAAGGGAGAACTGTCCCAACAAGAAAGTTTTTCTGGGAGGGGTCCCTTTGTGCATGTGGATCTCTGCAGGGACATGAACAGCCCAAGTGCCAGCCTCAGTGAGCCAGAATCACATCGATAACAGCACAGTGAATACTCACTATGAGCCAGGTATTACGCTCAGCTCTTCGCAGATGGTGACTTAGGTACTCCTCACACACCCTTGTGAGGTAGGTGTTACAAGAATCCCACCTACAGACCACTACAGATAGCCCTGTTTCAGCTGGAGACCAGGAGGGCAGGTGAGCCTGCAGAATGTGACCACGGACACAGCTAACAAGTACAGGGTCAAGGGATAAAGTCCAGGGTCCTCAAAATAGTTCTTAACTGCTATCCTGGGTTGCTCCCTGAAAAATGGCACTTTTAGGTATTCTCTCATCTTGGTAAAAACGGTGCCCAGTGCCACTAGGCTTTTGAGATTGTGTGAAACTGGGAGCGCTCATGGCAGCTTTAGTCCGTTGCCGTGGCAGACACTGCCCGCCGTGCCCAGAGCACACGCTGAGCAGGAGGGGCACGGACCGTCCTGAGACCCCCCCCCACAGCCGCTCTGAGGGAAGGACTCTCTAAGGCAGGCTTCGTGTCTGAATAACAGGAAATGCAGAAGAAGACATTTTTTCATGGTTCAATGAGTTGGGTATTTCAGGTTAAATATTTCCAACTCAGTTCTCTAACCCATCACACCTTTACAACTATGACCTAAGGTTCAAAAATAAGACAAAGCCTTTTCCATGAACTTTCATTCTGTGGCCCGTCCTGACGGTTCGGAGCATGGTGGGGCCAAAACATGGGGAACGTCTCTCTTTACCCAGAAGTTCCAAGGTGACCTTCACTGACAGAATTTATCCCACGAATAGGTGATTCCCCCTCCCTCATGGGGAACAGAACAGACTGTAAATGTGTTCTTCTGAAGCAAAGGGGTTCTAGGACTTGTCATGGGTATGTGGCCTTCAGCAGGGGTGGACGCGCATGGTGCAGAACCCTGTGTGGCCAGGGAAAATCTGGGTAGCAACAGCCAATATGGTATTGAGAGCCAATATGGCTCTACTACACACAAAGCACTGCGGCAGACGTCTTGTACAAATCTTTAAAAAAGGCAAGCTGTGTGAGACAGTCACCATTGCTCTCATTTTACGGATGAGGACATTCAAGTTCAGCGTCTGAGTGACAGACTAGTAGAGATCAGGAGACTGAGTGTAAGTTCTGTGAGGTCAGGGCAGTCTTTTTGTAGCCTGCTCTTTTTAAAATTCATTTCTGCAGCCTCCCCTGGTACCCGGCCTGGCACACAGTAAGTAATCAATGTTCATCGTCTAACAAAGGAACGAAGTGTCTTGACTGAGGTCCTGCACCGATGCAGTGGCAGATGTCAGGCCCTCCGACACTGAGTGCCGTGTCTGCGATCAAGCAGCAGAGGACGTAGGGAATTAACTCTCAGAGAAGAGCGAGGCCGACGAGAGGCGCGCGGGCAGAGCACTGACCTCTACTCCCCGACACGCAAGTCAGGGGCTCACAGCCCTCAGTGTGACATGGGACTCTCTTCAAAACTTTCTAGTCTGTGAAGAAGCCAGAAAATGGGATGCACTACAATTAGCAAAAAATACCTTGTGGAGAGATTTAGAGCCCAATCATAATTTACATTTGCAGATATGCAGATCTCTGAGTGCATGGCTTCTGCCCTGATTACTAATTAATGAGGTGCACACCGCCTGTGGAAGGAAGCCGAGCTGATTATGTCAGTCTTGTGGGACAGGAGAGCTCTGAGGTCTGAGAAGGTAGAAGAGTCCTTTAACATACATTTCAGTAAATTCAAAATATAAAACAGGGACAGAAGGCTGGCGTAAGTGGAAGCAAAAACCTGAGAGAGAAATGTGGCCATCAACCCACTTGTGTCTCGGACAGTCAAGTCTCAGTTATTCCACGGACCCCGCCAAATGCGTTTTTTGCACCAAGTGTGTGTTTACTTAATCAGCAGGCTGAATTCTGAATGAATGCAGATGCGAATGCATTGGTACAATTTAGAGTGAGTGCTGTGAGACAGCCTCCAAGCCCCCAAAAAAGAACAGCCGGAAAGGAGAAAAAAGACAGCCTGGTTCTCAGAGGGCGACCCTTTCCCGCCTGCACAGCGGAAGGTCACTCCTCCCCATCAGGTGTCCCCTGTTGCTCTGCGGAGCAGATAAACAAGAGCCAAAGGCCGCAGGGTCACCACACAGAGCAAGCCCACAACAGAGGGACACGAAAAACCATTTTTGGTAACACCTTCACAGACTTTTACAGCAGAGGTAAACGAGGCAGGAGAGTGAGGCTCAGGTTCTCCGGCCAGGACGACTGGAGCGCAGGTCTCCCGGTGCAGTCCTCCCGGCCTTTCTGAGAGAAAAGCTCCTGGGGCCGCCCTCGCCCTCCCCGCGGACTCCTTCCCTCACTGACACAGACAGTACAAGAGACAGTTGGTCGCCACCTACCGTTTGACTTCTCACTGTCTGCAGGCTTCATCTGAATGGGATGATGCATCTAAAAACACAAAATGAGAAAGTAAAGGTAGATTGAACAACCGTATGAACGGTCTCAGAAATTCCACACTTTCAAACTTGAACACTGATACTGCTGTGAGGACACACAGTTAAAGAACAAGACCTTTCCCAGGTAAAAAGCAACCCAATCAATGTACATGCAAGCCTGGGCTTTGTGTTCAGGAGTAGAGCCCTTTTACGTCACAGGGCGCAGTGGGTACAGGGGCACGGTATTTAAAAGCTTGGGCTCTGCAGTCAGACTTGAGTTCGAACGCTGGTTCTGCCACTCAGTATGGTTTCTGCCTGTATCTCCTAGGTGATTTGGGTCCCACCATGTATGCTAGCCACACGATCTTGGGCAAGTGTCTTAACTTCTCTGAGCTTCAGTTTCCTCATCTGAGACATGGAGAGAACGCCTGCACAGCAGGGCTGTGGGAATTAAGTGAGGGAATGCATATAAAGTGCTTAATTAAACAGGGCACAGGATGTGCTGAAAAATAAAAGAGCTGTTGTTATTTTATGTTATTCCAAATTTGAATGCAGACTGTTCCTTTTGGCCACTCTGCCTGCTGCATGGACCTCCTCAGGCCTCGTGTTATGAGAATCTGAAGGTCTAGCAGCTGCCTGACTCAGGTGCCGAGGTGTAATAAACACAGAGTATGGGACAGAATGGAGGGAGGGAGGAAGAGGGGGAGAGGGAGGCACAGTCCTCAGGACCATGTCTGTTCAGTACATAGGCAGGAGCAGAAACAGGTGAAGTGGTGACCACATCCGGAATCGGGGCAGAACTGGGTGCCCGCCGGCCCCTTCCCAAATGCCCATCACAGCGCGGTGCAGGACCCGCAGAGCTGACTCCAAGTGCCGAATGCTGCCGCTATTTCCAATTAAAATAAATTCCTCAAACTACTTTCAAAGGTCCTCTTGCTTCATATTTCATCCCACCCCGAGGAACACTGGAGCCACAGGGTAGATGGAATCACTGGCTGTGCAAATGCTTTTACTATAATGGGTCCCATTCTCCCTGAACCTTTAATTTCCCCAGTGGACCGCCACCATTTGCAAGCCACAACTCTGGGTTTTATCTAATTTACATGAAAGGGCAATGGCACTTGGCTGGAGCACTTAAATGATGGGAAATTATTATCAAGCAGTCAGGACCATGTGCAGCTGGTGCCTGCCAGGGCCTCCCAAACACATGAGGAAGAGGAAGGAGGAGTACTGGGGGGGGGGGGACGCAAGCCATGCAGAGCTGCTTTGTTTATTCTAAAAGGCAAGACACTCTTATGCATAGAACACAGGCCTTGAGATCTGAGATCTACTCATATTCCCACTCCATTCCTTCATCTATTCAATTTATAGAAGAGTCTAGAATGAGAATGAAATGTTTGGGGATTAGTAAGTAGATCAGACTTTCCCAAAAAGACTAGAATATACACCTAAAAAACAGGCAGAAGTAAACTGCGAAAAACACCTGATTTGGGCGAAAGAATATGGCCTCCATCCTATGTGTAATGGAGAGAATGAGCCCCCCCCAAAATGTTGGGGGAAGAGGGACTGAGTCTTTGAGAAAGCTATTCTTCCCCCTTGCCTTATCCACTTGTTCCACAAAAATGTCTGAGGTACCCACTGTGTCCCTGGCTCTAGACTAGGAGGTGAGGAAGGCAGGCCAAGGGGAGCAGTCCAGACCCTTTGGGTGCTCGCTGTGAGGCAGGGCAGGCTGTAAACAGCCTCCCATGCAACACTGGTGAGCGCTGTGGCAGACCCAGGAACCAGGGACTCTGGGAGCCCAGGCGAGTAGGCACTTCTTTCTGCCCGGCAAGGGAAGAGGCTTCTCAGCAAAGGTGGCACCCGATTAGTATCCTAAAGGCCAGGTTGGACTTGCCAGCAGAGGAGGGAGAAATGGAATATCCCACGTAAAGACACACGGGGTGAGAAAGAGCGCAGTTTCTTGTAGCAAGTCATCCGATATGAGGGGAGGGGCACAGGAGCAGGCGCAAAGGGCGTGAGCATCCAGCTCTCGAAGGATCCTGTGCACTACGAAATTGAAATTTTGTCTAAATGTGAATGGTCAAGCATAGAAAATTTAAGTAGCCAAGGCAACAAGATCAAATTTGAATTCTAGGAAAATCCCTTTTGGCCACAGTGGAGGATGGATTATAAAGGAGCAACAAAGGAGGCAGGGGGAACAGCACAGAGGCTACTGCAAAATGAAACTGATAAAGATCTCAACTTCAGAGGCAACTGGCAGGTTGTGGGGAAGAGGGCAAGAGAGAACCCCAGGCCTGGACAACTAGATATACTCTGGGCTTATCACCCAAACAGAGAAAGCAAGAAGGCCGTTTTGGAGGGGACTGCTGAGCACAGGTCTGCACGTGACCCCTTGGATGTGGCTGTGGGGTTATAGAGAAGTTGGGAAAGGGCGGTTCGGGATGTAGCAATGGCCCTGAGAGGTGGCAGCGGAGCCCACAGGCACGGGCGAAGCTGTCCACGGAGGGAATGCGAAGTGAAGAGAGTCCGGAGCCAGGGACAGAACACTGGTCTGAAAGGGACAGACAGAGCGCAGTCAGAGAAGCAGGCGCAGGAACAAGTGGCCCCACATGAGCCATGTGGGGAGAGTTTTAAGAACAAGGTGGTGCTGCTAGGTGCTATGATGAAAATGCCCAAGTGTCCTTTTGGATTTGGCAATAAAAAATTCTGTAGGGAATTAATCAAAAGATGTTTCTGTAGGTTCCGGGGAGGGTGGAATGTGAGCTTGCGAAGGGTTGGGGAGTAACAGGGAAGGTAACAGTGGAAATGATAAATGTAGATGACTATTTCAAGAAAAGTCTCTACGAAGCGGGGGTCAGAGGGGGAGACACAGGAAGCCTGATGGAGGATGGGGCGGAGTCTTTCCAGGGAGCAAAGACTTGTACAGGTGCATGTTCAGAAAAGATGTAGATGCGATTTATGGGTTAAAGAGAGAAAAGAGGAGATAAGTATACCTACATTACGTATGGGACACAAAATGAAGTGAATGGGACTCTTGCCCTCAGAGAGCTGATGATCCATCCTGGAAGCTGAGATGTGCAAACATACAGAAGAATGGTGACCAACATCAGACACTTGGATCAAGCTGTGAAGTACATGGAAGTCTAGAGCAGGAATCCTGGGAGCTGTCATTTTGTAAGGACAGAATCATTGTACTGGCAAGGCTGTGAAGGGCCTGGCAATCATTTAGTCCAATGCTCCCAATTTATTGGTCTGCAGGGACTGAGTGACTTCACTAAGGACACACAGCTGGTTAACGACTGAGACGGGATCAGAAATCTGAGCTTCCTGCTCTTACCCAGTGCCGATTCCCCCTGTCACACTGTTTCTCCACGAAATGCCCCACATGGGACTTGGACACATGAGCCCACAATGAAAACTGCAGGCTTCACTCACTGAAGGCACCAGGCGCGCATTAGAAGGCGCCTGCCATATCCCCTTACTAAACTCCCGAAACACTTTATCTATGCAGCTTTGCGAGCAGCATTATACTGAGACTCGACTCTTAGTTTTCTTGTAGCTGCTGAGAGAATTAGCTCAGTTTCTGACCCGAGACTACCCAGAGGCTCAGGAATGCCAAAGTGCTAGTACAGTTATGTGCGCACACTATGTTCTGGTCAATGAACCACATGTATAAGGGCAGTCCCCTAAGACTGTAAAGGAGCTGAACAATTCTTACTGCCTAGTGACCTCAGGGCCATAGTAACATCTTTGCGTAATGCATTCCTCACATGTCTATGGTGATGCTGAGGTTAGCAAGTGTACCGTGCTGCCAGTCGGGTAAAGGTATAGCACATGTGATTATGTGCATCATTTTCTCTTGTGCTGGACTTAATCTCACGTTGTTTTGCATAGCACCATGTTGTATAGGCTTGTAGCCTAGAAGCAACAGGCTCACCATACAGCCCAGGTGTTTGGTAGGCTATACCACCCAGGTTTGCCTATGATGTTCACCCAAACACAAAACTGCCTAACGATGCATGTCTCAGAACGTATGCTGTTGTTAAGGAACCCATGACTATGACAAAGCAGCTGCTGCCACTGAAGACTTGACCTTTGCTTTGGTCTTTCCTAGGCCCAGGGTGGGGGGTGACAGTCAACTTCACAGAGATCACAACTGTCAGACCCTGGTGAATTCTGAGGGGGTGGTCACCCCTACCTTCAGGTATGTTCTGAAGACAATTTAGACAACGTATGTAAAGCACTGTGACCTTCTTGGGGAGAGGTGTTCAATCAATACTGTATTAAGAATGGCTCATTATCATGAACAGTTCATGTGAGTTACAAATTTCTGATCAGGTACAGGATGTAAATGTCAAGGAAGACAAAAAATGGTTTGGAGGCGTCCTTCTCATAACATTTTATTTCCTCGAAATCTCATGACTCCAAAGACCGTTGGGAGGTTTGCTGAATGGAGTAGAGAAATTATTGTAAGGAACAGGTATTCTAGTTTCAGGTTTCCAATCATAACCAGGGGTTCTTTCCCTAAACAGGAAATGGTTTCAAAGATTTGATCCGGTGTGCCGCCAGGACTACCTTTTCATTCCCTTATTTTTGCTTTACCAGACACTCTGTTACCTGCTGGGAATGCAGCGGAAAAGCGTTCTCGTCCCGATGGCTCGCGCCCGTTGGGTACTGGGAGAGAGAGCCACGTCGGACGCTTGCCCCCCAGGGGATGTGTGCTGTGCTAAGACCTGCAGCACGAGAACCTGGTGGAGAAACACCCAGCACAGGAGGAAGGGCGAGCTGGAGAAGGCGCCTCGGCTGACGCAGTGGTTGAGTTCCACCTGGACGGAATGCTAATGTTCATCAGTACACGAGTGAAGGACATTTCAGGGGAGAAACAACATACTTGAAGGTGCAGAGTAAGAGAAATAGATCATGTTGTTGCTAAAGAATGATGATAGGACATCCTAACCTACAGAGGAAACAATAAGGTCACTAAAGATCACCCACCAAAGTACAAAGCACAAG